GGTGGGGGGGACCTTCTTAAACTTTTCACCTTACGGGTAAATCTCCTAGTGATAGTGACAAACCCTCAGCTTCGCACAGCTAATTACAATAAAATTAGTGGCGTAAGAAACGAAAGTGGGGTGAGGGCTGGACCCCGGCCGTAATGGGCACATCTTTGGTGCGCTCGGTCAAATACACCTTGACCCCTACACACTTTTAATTTGCCTCCTACACCTCTAAACTATTACATTTTGAGACAAACCTGCATTCACTCTCTGAGAACTTCAATGCAGTTAGTATCTCTCAGTTTGGTCAAGCTATGTTTGTAAGACTGACCTTATTCTTCTCTAAACTACCAACTCCAATGTCTTGTAACTTTACTGCATCTTAATGTTAACATATGTTATTAAACACAACAACAGCTTGATAGCAGCTGTGAGACATCACAAGATGAGATGGAAGCGTTACTATTGTACTATCATGGCTGCTCTAAACAGGATAACGAGTACAGAGCACTTGGTTAATAATAGCATTAGCCAGATGGTTAGGACACTCGGCTCGCAATCTGCGGGTTCGAATCCTCTTCACCCAACTTGCTCGTCCTTTCAGCCGGGGGAGTTATAACGTGACAATCAATCCCACTATTCGTTGGTAAAAGAGTAGCGCAAGAGTTGGCGGTGGGTGGTGTTGACTAGCTACCTTCCCTCTAGTCTATCACTACTAACTTAGTGACGGCTAGCGCATATAGCCCTGGAGTATCTTTGCGCGAAATTCAAAAATTAATAGCATTGTTACTAATTGATTGATAAAATGATCATGTACTTATCTTAACTGTAAGGCGTAGAGGAAGAAAAAAAAAACTTCGTTAAAATATTAGACATTCTGTTATTGATTATGTATTTTGTTCATAAAACTATAATAAAACTAAGAAGACAATTGAAAACAGCTAAAAGCTAAATAATAAACCCGATAATGCTAGTGGTTTCGGATTATTAGCCTTCCGTCTTCAGAAATGAATTCCCTGCTATCCTACTTAAAATTCAACAGTTGCATTCGTGACCATACATAGCAAAGCCACATCAGGCTATCTGCTGTATCCACCTAGGGGAATTGAACCCCTGATTTTAGCGTTGTAAATCCGAACATTTGCCGCTGTCTCACCGGAAGACCATTAACAACAGAACGATGAAAGTGGTGAAAACCGTGTTTATTTAATTAGTCTGAATAAATTGTCGTTCCGCTCTTTTCTTGCTGAGAGCTGTTCTAAAAGGTTGAGTTACGTGTTGACCTTTTATTCCTCGATCCCTTGTAGCAATTTTGTCTTAACTGCAGTATATTATTTGTCAGAAATAAATATGAATCCCAATCTATCATTCGATATACCACTTGTCACTGAATTACACCGGTTTCAGGAAATTCCATCCCTTATCAGTAATCCTGGACAACGACAAATGGAAAAAACAAAAGTAGGCTTTTTCTTGTGGTGAACTGTATGTTACATGTGTTTCTTTCTTACTCATCACAGCTAACCTATTTTTATATATGGTTTGACGAATATGTAGCATTGAAATGATGCTACTACCTTATTCTCCTGAATTACTCAGAAGATAAGCTAAAGATAAACATGAAGCTCAATCAGTCATTTACCATTTGTCACTTGGTTTTACCGGTTTCGGAAATTTCACCCCTCATCAGTCAACCTAGACAAGGGAAAATCGAACAAACAAGATCAGGCTTCTTGAAGATAGACTGGGATTCATGTTTATTTTTAGTGTGTTAAACAGCTTATCTACTGAATAATTTAGAATGTGCCTCACCACCCCCACCCCCCTCGGTCCGGTGGCTACGTATTATGCAAATACTCTATAAATATAGGTTCATTTTGATGAGTAAAAGACAACTAAAAACACCATGAAATAATACTTTGTTGTTTTTCTTCCACAGAAGACACGGGAAATTCTATGATCGTGCGTGGGTGTGCACTGGATAGTGGAACTCTGACAATTGATACCGAAATAGTGAGGATGAGTCACTGCGGGAGTTTCTACTTTGATGAGCGTTACGTCAGTGGTTGTCTCCAGAGCTGCTTCGACGATGCGTGTAATAGCAGTCCATTCACTCTTAGCCTGGCGTCTCCACTGTTGCTCTTAACAATTTTGGTTCTAACGACTAATTAAGCCTCGACTAATTGTTATGGAAATTATCTGCCCTTGTTTCTGGAAAATTTTAAACTAACGACTAATAAGCCTGGCAATTGCAGTAACCTGTTTTTCTAGAAAGATCCATCAATTTTTAACTATTTCTACAATGACTTCTGACATATGATATTAGGAAAGAAATTAAGAGAACAAATGTTTACATCTTACAAATTCGGAAGATGTTCTTGTGGTAGGATTTTTAATTTGAATCTGTATTTGATATTTTAATAACTCTCGAAAGAATATTTTTACATCGAAACAAACAAGTTTTAACTAGCTAACCCCAACATGTAAAGTAATTTAAAATGAAACATTTGTAGACAGCGTTGCTTTCTAATACATCTATGAATTAACAACTATTAAAGTGAATCATATTTTCACTAATCTAAAACTTTGTTGTTAGAAGTTTTTAACTCAAGCATAATGTGTTGGTAGAAGTTTTTAGCTTAAGCATAATGTGTTGTTTCAAGTTTTGTTCTAAACAAAAAAAATCTTAATGCAGCTGTCAAATATTGTTTGTAGTTAAGTTATAAAAAATAACGTTTCGATAAAAAAAAATGTTGTTTTATCATTTCCTTCTACAAGTTTTATAATTAAGCTCCAATATTTCGACTGAATAAAACCGAAATAGTTGCTGAATATACAAAATTATTATTTCCTCCGATCTGTTAAATGAATTACATAACTTTATTGACAAATTCCTCATCAGGAAGAAAGAAGTAGTTTCCATCTTTGGAACCTTCTTGATGTCGTCTCACTCAACATAACTACGAACCAATGTCCATAGGTTATGCATCATATACGCGTACAGTCTCTTGAACGTAAATAGAACTTAATGCCAACAGCAAATCCAGTAAATAAAAATCCAAATAGCATTTAGATAATATTGTCATAACACTAATTATTATAACTGTTAATAACGCACGTGCGAGGATTATCATTCCAGCACTTTCTCTGACAAGTTACCTCAACACTAAACATTAATATTTCATTTTGTAGCAGAACGCGTGTTTTCGGTGTTAAAAATATTATAATGAACTCTATCTACAGTTTGGAATGATCAACTGTAGAATTTGTGTACAGTAGTAGTTCAGTAAGAGTGTAAGACTCGTTTTCCGTAACAGTAAAATAGTTTTTACATGTTTGTTTGAGCCAGAAACTCGATTTTCATTTCATTTCATTTTGTTACGTTTAAATCCGAAAACAATTCTCATTCTGAAACACTGATAGTGCCTATCGAAATATAATCTAAGTGTTTTGAGAGAGATGCTGCATAGCTCGTGAAGTAAGCTAAAACGCGTATCGTAAAATAATAATATTACAATCGTAAGCGAGTAAAGTCTGCCGACGACGTGGTGATCATTTGTGAAAGCTTTAGATATAATGATATGTTGCATCAAAATCTCAGTTTTTACAAAAAAAAATAAGAAATCAAATTACTCAAAGTAAAAATCAGTAAGACTATTTATTATACACAGATAGAGAGATCCAAGCTTTTAGTTTACGAGTGTCACAATGCAGCTTATATATGACTTTATTAACCCAGCATCACTCATCCATACAACTGCAGAAACATCATAAGCAGTGATAGAGTACGTGATGGTTGATTTCAGATCATAGCCATTCACGTTTATAATTGTTATGTGGACTTTTGGTTAGGAATACTGATATTATAACATTAGTATCCATATCCATATATACTGTCCTACTTTGAGACTTAATCTGTGAAAATATGTCTATACTTCCTATTTCAGTACCTTTATTTAGACATGAACGGTATTATAAATGTAAATTAATACTACAGTGGCCACTGTAAACAATGCTTTATTCCCGAGTTCTCTTTTAAGAACAAATTATTTAAAACTCATTTTATCAAATAAGTATTTATGTTTCGCTTTAAAATTAAGATACACACATTGTTTAGAAACTTCAAGCAATGAAAATGATTAAAACATATTTTCTTATGCTGATTAAAGCCGATTTTGAATATTTGATGTTAATAAAAACACTCGATAACTTTGTAGAAAATATAAAATATGAAAGGATTTTGTGCTCAAGTTTTAAAACGAAATAGGTTATACATATTTTTATACTATTCCTTTCTCTCCGATTCACTTATTCTACTTTAATCATTTGTAACTTGAAAAAATTAGCATTTAGTATCACGAATATCTAAGAAAATTCATTTCTCAACTATAAATGAGCAAACAAATGACAGAATTATCCGGGTATTCTGTCTCGTGCCCAGGCAGTCGGGAAAGGGGGAGGGAGGAGCACAAACATGCCTTAATGATAAGCTCTGGGAATATCCTTTCTTCTCAAACTTTCCATTAGAATGGTGTCTGCAAGATACATGACAATATTAATAATAGATTTTCAGTGGAGAAATGAAAATGGGAGTTGGGGGGGGGGCGAATAATTCTATGGGTGCACTAGTTGAAACAATGAAATAGAACTGAATTCAAGCAAAAAAAATGACTTCATCGAAGATTCTAAAACTAAGCTAAGATGGTTGGAGTCTTTTTTTTTCTTCTTTTTTGAAAACCCCTTATATTACATTGCAAAACTTTTTACGTTTATTGCGTAATCTTCAAAAGGTGGCCTCAAAAGTGCATTATTACACAAAAAGTTACAAATATCATGAAAAGTTACGATTCATCACCTGAGATAAAGATTGTATGACCAATTAACATGCAACCTGATACAAATAACTAAAACTTACGAGAATTTCATGGATCTCAGATCTAGTAAAATCGAAACCAATTTTTGTATGATCCTTTGTTATGATGGCTAGAATTGTTACAGGGCTAGAATTGACTTCTAAGATTGGCATTTCACTTTGTTATAAATACAATAAATTTAAAGTTTTTCATTACTCTACGCTGTATATCTACTTAAATGTATTCCGAAGGTATAATATTGTTTAAAGCCACGGTAATTAAAAAACAAGATATAATAGTAAGAACTGTAGACGCTATGACTTTGCTAATTTAAATTTCTCAGGGTGATTTTTGTGGAATCATTAACCTCGCATTTGATCGATATAATCAGGCCTGTTAAGTCATGCTCAGGTACTTTGTAGTCCATGTTCCTTTTTTGGGACTTACTGGTTAACGACTCAGTGTCTTTGGCTGGTAAATAGCCATTCTATTTTCGGTAACCTTAATGTGCTTTTATCGAATATCGACTAAAGAATTTTGACAATATTGGGAATGTAATGTTTTGTGGTTTCCTTTGTATAGGCTAGTGGTACGAGTGAAAACTTCATCTACTACTTTTAAGGCAAAAACTGAATAAAGATGAATACATAATCCAAGTCTGAACGTAGCACATATTGCAGCTTCAAAATAAATCAAGTTACTAATTAAATATTGAACCGAATAGTTTATACAGAATACAAGCAAAAATCATCACTGGAATCAAAATGATTAAAAACTATGCTACCAAATAACCATATGAACTTAAACATCAAATCACTTGTATTCAAATCGAACTCAGTGTTTCATTTTACTTTTATTGGAATAAGATATTCATATCTTAGGTCTTAAAGAATTTATAATATCAACAATTACTTTTTGATCACTTGGTGATTAAACTGTATTTCATACCCCGGTGGCTCAGTGGTAAGCATGTGGAGCTTATAACGCTAAAATGGGGGTTCGATTCTCACGGTAAACATTGTGCTTAATGTGTAACTTTACACTTAACAACAAACGAATAGCATTTCAATTTCATTGCCAAACATTACTTTATTATACCTACTCTTATACCAAGTGGTTGTTAACAATCGCACGTCATAGTACTTCAATATTTTCATTTTTTGTCTTTACAATGGAAACACCAACTCATAAACTGTAAACAATAAATGACAACTTTTATATTATATCATTTATTTTAATATAATTAAAAACGCATTAAAACTGTTAAAAAGACACGGGGTGCCAAATAAAACATGACAGAATACTTTCTGAAATGTAACGAAGCATACTTAACACTCAGTAGACCTAATTAACTTAGATCGAAACTCTCAGGAAACCACGTAATACTTTTAAAGGAAGTCCTTAATGAATATCCAAAAACTGTAAAGTAGTTGTAGAATAAAAATGAACTAGTTTAATTGAGGAAGAACAATCCAATTGTTGAAAGTACTTAACAGTTTCTAGTCAACAAAAGTAACATTCAATGTTAAGTTCTCATTTCTTGTTAATTTCAATTTAAAGGGAATTTCGAAAATTATTTAATTTTAGCTTACCATTATGACTGATCAGATATATAACAACTATTGTTTTAAAATTTCATACAATTTCTGAATAAAACCAATTTATATCATTCTTTGATCAATGCAAGCATTTTACACAGAGAAGAACTGAAAAACAACCTATTAATGAATACAGCTAATTAAATATATTGTTCTATATTCTTAGTTAGAATGTAGGTTAGAATGCATTGTTTCATCAGTCGAGTACTCTCGTTGTTAAAGATATTCTTGGTCGTAATCCTATTAATATCTCACGAAATTCGACCAGCTTAGGTTTAGTTTAGCCTTAAATCCATATACTAAGCTAGCAATTAAAGTAAGTCTACGGACTCACAACGATACAATCCGGGGTTCGTTTCCCAGCGGTGGACACAGCACATGGCTCAATGTGGCTTTGATCTACAAATAAACCAATGAAACAATGCAAAATAATCCTTACGATAAACATATCTAATGATAATAATAATAAATGAAAACTAAAATATATATATTAAACACTCTAACTAGTGTTTTGTAATAAAAGTAACATTAAAGAAAGAGTAGT